GTGACATAACCGGTGTTGCGGCTTAACACCGGTATCACCGTCAGCACCGTCTATCGCGGCAAGCCTAATAGAAAACTACTGTATCCCACAATGCAATGGACTCAACTTGGCCTTCCATTTCCAACATGACCAATGAACAACAAGCAATACCAGCCTTCAACTTACTTTACTCAAAAAGTGCTATTTGCACACAAAATCAGATTTAAAATGCCACGAGTATATACGAGTATTAGTTTCTGCGACACTACTCACTGACATAGTGAGCTCATGTGAAAATTTTGCATACTACTTTGTTAAACATCACAAACTGCAGTTTTTTTTATTTTTCAGTTTAAAAAGTAGGTAGTTTACAGTACATATCTTTCTGTAGTATGTAGCAAGCAGTACACTACTATTCCAAGTATACCGTACACTATGCAGAAAATAGTAAGTGAAATAGCACATTTAAACAAACATTTCAAAAGGTATTTGAATACTTTATAACGTGACCTCACTATGTCAAGTTTAATTTAAAAAGTGCCATTCAGTTGTCATCTTTAGAAATAAAATGTGATGTATGCAGCCTTTATATGGCTTTTTAAAGAGGTTTTGGTAGCAATAAGGTTCCACAAGTTAACATTAGTTTACTACTTTAGTTCAAATGAACTAACAATGAAAAATAGTTTTATTTTATTTTTATTTATTGAAAATACTATTAAATGCATTAAAAATGCATTTATTAATCTTAGTTATTGTTCATTTCAACATTTACCAATACATTATTAAAATCAAAATTTGTTACAGTGAACAACTGTATTTTTATTAACTAATTCTAACAAGGATAAATAAAGATTTATATAAAAATAAGATTACGATAAAAATGCTATTGTAAAGTGTTACCAATTTTTCACATTTTAGATTTTTACGGAAGTAGAAAATAGTTCTCATCACACACTATGCTAGTATACCATTTTAACCACTGCTATAGATTATCTTGCATATTTAACTAAATTTTGTGTAAATTCAAAGAGTGAAAATCAATATATTCCAATAACGTCTGGTTCATACTGCACATTTTGGTAAATGCAGATAATCTGGGTATTTTACAGCTGAAACAGTGAGAGTAGTAGGCTATGTTAGTATGCTATTCCGAACATAACCTCAGACTGTTTGAGCAGCTAAAGCCGAGAGGAAAAGACTGAAGAGAGAGAGCAAGAGAGAAAAATATTAGGCGACTGAGAGAGGCCCTAGTGTTCCTGTTTTCTGCAGATGAAGCAGAAGACATTACGGAGGAGAGGAGAAAGGGAGATTGCGCTCTGGCGATGCTGACGCTCCCGGGGGAAATCCAGCCGAGATCCCGCTGTTCCTAAAGCTGCTGTTGTCGCACTCGCCACGTAGAAACACAAACATGCCTCGCTGTTCCCGCCAGGCCTCGCTCTCAGGGCCCGGCACACAAACACGCCACCTAATTGGAGTGCAATTACCCAATCACAATTGACAATTAAACAATGAGAAATTGGTCTCCTAAATAACTATGTCTGCAATTACACATTAAGTGTGAAGTATAAATTGAGTCTAGCGCATTGCCTCTGAAGCATAATTGTGTGTGTGTGTGTGTGTGTGTGTGTGTGTGTGTTTGTGCGACCTATCAAACGTCTCGTGCTCATTTACGGACAGATAATTCTCATTCGCATCACGCCGATGGCGTGTCCCCTCCCCGTTTCCTCCCTGAAAGGAATGTCTCACTGAAGAGCCTTTCCTGGAGCCGTTTCTTATGGAAATCTGTGGCGCTCCTCCGCCCTGTTTGTTTATTTTGCTGATCGAGCAGAGCATGGCCGTGGGCTACCAGAGAGGAACTGAGAGCCGCAGACAGATGGAACCATTCAGGCTGTGGATACGGGCCGCTAACGGGTGTCACGTTTGACTTTACCTTGGGGCTGCCGTGATGACTGTGAGTTTCCCGCTCCTGCTCGTCCCTCTCGCTGGACAGGATGTGGGTTTTGATGGCGTCCAGCGTGCGCAGCATCCAGTTGTGCTGACGGCGGATCTGTCTCTGCAGCTCCTGCCACTGGTGGGATATCATGTGGAGCATGTCCCGCAGTCCTGTGTGCACACAGAAAGGCACACGGTAACACTAACACACGTTATAAATGCAGTGGTGTAGCGGCTAAAGTTCTGTAATCCAAAAACCTAAAAAAAAGATGATTGTGAACTTAACCAAAGGCCTGTTCCTGTAACAAAATATAATACTTACTTCGTTTAAGTAATTAGCTACATACAAATAAAAACCATTAACTAATACAAATGACACTAATATAGATAAAACAAAACTCTCTGTGGTCATTAAAAATCTGACTCTCTGTGGTCATTAAAAATCCCAGGATGTCCTTCGAAAAAGAGTAGGGGTGTAACCCCGGCATCCTGGCCAAATTCGCCCATTGGCCTCTGACCATCATGGCCTCCTAACCATCCCTTATCTGCTGATTGGCTTCATCACTCTGTCTCCTCTCCACCAATAAAGCTGGTGTGTGGTGGGCGTTCTGGCACAATATGGCTGCCGTCGCATCATCCAGGTGGATGCTGCACACTAGTGGTGGTTGAGGAGATTCCCCACTTCTATGTAAAGCGCTTTGAGTGCCCAGAAAAGCGCTATATAAATGTAAGGAATTAAAACAAAACATTAGTAATATATAGTACAAACATGAAAAACAGCAAACACAGTAATGCGCAAATAAAAATCTTCAGTATATAGGCCTACCGTAAATATTGTATATTCATTTTCCTTACTTGAAAAAAAATAAATGTTAACTGAAATAAAAAATTAAAAAATATATATATTCTTTCAGCTAGTTATAATTTTTTTCTTTAGCTTGAAGTGCCAAAACAATAAATAAATATAATAAACTTATTTTCTGTAGACTTATTTTTTTTTAATTACAAAATTAATAAAACAAACTGAATTTGAAATAAAATGGAAATGATACAAATAAAAACAAAAACTGAAAATACAAAATAAAAATATGTAAAAACTATCATTTAAAAAAAAAAAAAAACTATAATAGTACATCAATACCACTAAATGATAATCAATGATAATAAAACTAAACTGTGTAATACTAACACAAACATTACAAATGTAGTGGTTATGAATAGCGGTTAAAGATCTGTAATCCGAAAATTCTAGGTTGAAACTGAAAAAGATGCCTGTTCCTGGAACAAAATATACTAGTTACTTTAAGTGTCAGCTAAAAAAACAAATGAAACTATTACTTAATACAAAGAACACTAAAACAGACCAAAACATCAGTAATATATTGTGCAAGCATGAAAACCAGTAAACAATATGCAGATAAACACAGATCTTCACTACATACTGTACACATTATGTACTGTATATTCATGCCATGTATTTTTGAAAGTTAAGTAGGATGTATATTGTGCAAGGTATGCAAATTTTCTGTATGTAAGAACTATTTTTATGCCGTTATTAAAATTTTAACTTTTTTTAACATATGCAAACTGTATCATTTGGCATAAGAATGCTCAACATTATTATTAATAAACTGAAAAAATTATTAAACTATTTACATACATAAATCAAACATTTTAAACATTTTATTACTCCCTGTTGTGCCTTAATCATGGTTAAATAACTTAAAATCACCAAAATTGTCACGGCTACGTGCTGGAATGAGGACACAAGAGCGCACAACGAAGGTAATCTTAATTCTTTCATATAAATCCACAAGGAATGACGAAGGAGACATACACACACATAAGGTAACCTAATACAATAACAAAGGGAACAAAGGGAAACTTAAGTACAGTACACGGGTCAACGAGGATGGTGAACTAGACACAGGTGAACAGAATGACACAATCAAGGGAGACAGAAACTGGGTCAAAGCAACATGTGGGATGAATGAAAACAAAACCAAACGTCCATGCGTGACAAAAATCACTTACATTTTTATGCTATAATTCATCATTATAAAAAAAAATTTATTTGAAAAGATGTAAAATAGAAACATTTCACTAGTGGTTTCAGACTATTAGATCTTATTTTGTGTCCACACAGTACATCAAACTCATATTTCAAAAGAGCAAGAAAATCCTGTTTCCCCTTTAATTTCTGCTCTGTAATTAGAAGCAAATTTCCTACCAACTTCCCACCTTGACCATCATTGTCCCGTATCTTAGCAACTCAGCAGCCGGGCATCACTCCACAGGTACAAGCAGCGGCTTCCATCACAGAATGCCGTGGGCTGCGACGAGAGGCCTGATCCGGGCACAATGCGGGGGTCACACTCCAGAAGCCCCACTTCCGCCTCGACCGTATTTATCTTAATTTATGCTTTTTAATTACTTTGAACAAATAGGATTTGCAGACGGAGATGCTGATTGTGGCCGGTTGAGACGCAGCGGACACATGATGGGTTTGGAATATAGAAGCATCCCGTAATACTGAGGGATTAACCGAACGCTCGAGTCCTCATCAGATGCGAAAACACACGCGCGGTCCGGCTCGGGTCACCGCCATCAAGTAGCAAGAAAATCAAATGCCTTGTTTTTTTTCCCCATCTGTTGAATAGCCAGCGTAGAGGAAGATATTATCATTTAACTCGTTCAATATTTTATTTTTTACCAGAGGTTGGTTTTAATGATTTAGATGATGGTGGTGATTATGATAATGCCATACGCGTTATTATTAGTGATGTGTTTGAGTTTAAGAGGGAAAGAAGAAAGCGAAATGCATCTGTTGGATCATTAAGGGCGAGTCGTGATAAATGGTTAAATCACAGCACATTAAAGGCTCATTAAAAACAACTGTAGGGGGATGTGTATGTGTGGGACGGGCCGGCTGGACAGCAGGAACATCTCACTGTAAGGGTTAAGTGGGTGTTCTGCCCATTGGCTGACATTAGCAGCATACACATATATGGCCTGGGAAAGTAGCTGTATTCGGTATATACTGTTAGTGCATACTATTACTTGAAATGTCTTATGCGTTATTATGTGCATTAAGCTTAATATGCTACATTGTTGTCAGATGACCTCTCTATGTTACATGTATTTCATTGAATAGAGTCCAGTTATTATTATTTTTTCTTATTTACTTTCTTTTTTATGCATTTATTCGTGTGTTTATTTATTTATTTTCAAATTAATACTTGTGTTCAGGAATGACTGAACTGATTAAAAGTCACAGTAAAGACTGTGTTACGAAAGACTTTTATGTCATATAAATGCAGTTCTGTTGAACTTTCCAATCACCAAGAATATCAAAAAAATTATGGTTTTCACAAAAAAAAAAAAAAGCTTTCAACATTGATAATAATAAGAAATTATTCTTGAACAGCAAATCAGCATTTTAGAATGATTTCTGAAGGATCATGTGACACTGAAGACTGGAGTAATGATGCTGAAAATTCAGCTTTGCATCACAATTACATTTTAAATACATGAACATAGAAAACCATTATTTTAAAATGCAATAATATTTCATAATTTTACAATTTTTCTGTATTTTTTTATACAAATTTAATAAAATAATTCAAAATTGATGATTGTTACTAATTACTTCTGTTTCAATAAATGCTATTCCTTTGCACTTTCTATTTATTAAAAAAATCTAAGGAAATTATTTCCCAAAAAAAATATTATGCAACTGTTTTCAACACTGATAATAGGAAGAAATGTTTCTTGAGCACAAGATCAGAATATCAGAATGATTTCTGAAGTAAAAAAAAAAAAAAAAACATTAAATATATGAAAACAGAAAAGAGTTATTTTACTGTATTTTTTAACAAATGCAGTCTTGATGACTATAAGAGACTTCCTTTAAAACATCATACTGACTTCAAACTTTTGAACATTAGTGCATTCAAACTGCAGAATACAGTAAAAGGTGCAGAATATGTCCTATTTAAAATCAAAATGTCCACTATTTACTTTACTTAACACACATTCCTGGCCCTAATGACCCATAAGTGGACATTCCTCTAAAGGAGGAAAACATATAGAAGTGGCCCCTTTAAGAAGCTCCCTACGGACGGTTGGGTTATAGTAAAGGTGCGAGCGTGCATGTTTGTGTTTGTATAGTTGGCAGGGAGTTGTCATCACGGTGTGGCACCGCAGGACAGGGCTGTCGGGGCATTATAAGGAAGCGCTCATGCCTCTGAGAGCCATCTGCATATTTAATGGTAGCCGGCTTTACCCAGCGGAGACGAGACATACCAGCAGGGAGGTCAGCTGAGTGGATTTGTGCATTCGAGCTCTCGGCGAGACTCTTCAGGTGAATAATCACAGATATTGTAGAGGAACGAGTGTCTGCAATGGCCTCTGACTCCTCAACCTGCTGTTCTTAATTCCCGCTCTCTTCATATACGGCTTTGGAAGCGCTTGGCCGGGCCGCCGCACCCGTCTCTCCGCTTTATCCCAGAACTCAATTCAGCAGGCCGTGCGCCATTTGTAATGTATGTGAAAAGGCGTGCGCTCGGCGCTTCAGAAGCGGTTACTTGAGGATTTATAAATTCTGAAGGTCACTATGATAATACAAACATTAATAATAAATGTGTGGCTCGGCAGAACCGTACCTGATTTGTGGGAGGTGATGAGTTCCAGGAGCTGCCGTCCCTCCTCCAGGAGACTGTCTTTCAGAGCGCTGTGACTGTCCACGTTGAGTTTGAAACTCTACACACACATGAACACAGAAACGACATGTCAGTGCAAGGGAATAATCTTAAATTCATTTTTTTCTCCTCCTTCATACTTTCTGTCCTCTTCAGATTTCCCTCTTATCTTCCATTAGAACATCTTCACACACAAATGCATACAAAAAACGTCATGGCTCATCTGCCAGGAGGATTGCATTGTTCAAGGCTTGCTCTTTCATTGCTCAAGAGAGTTAATGGGCGAATCTAATAAAAAAAGAAACTTCCAGATTTAAATTGACTACAAATTTAAAATAAAAATTGTATATTTTGCATAAAGGAAGTGAAACCTGATTTAGGAGAATATTAATATTTCTGCATAGTTTTCATGAAAATGAAGCACATTTTCCCCTCAAAATACCCCATTTAGACTTCTTAGAAAATAAAGAAAACAATAAAATATTCAATAAAACAATATTTAAAAAATATCAGGAATAAAAACAGAAGAAAAAGACAAGTAAATAAAATATAAAGAAATAAAATAAGATGTATTTAATAATTTTTTTTTCTGCTAGACAACTATAACATTAAAGCTGCAGTCCGTACCTTTTTTTGGTTCAAAATTATCCAAAATCAATATTTGAGAAAGTACATAACCATCCAGTGTTCGAAACTATCGCCTTACTTTAGCCCGATTCACAACGGTTAGCTTATAATAATGTTTTCTAATTTGAGTGGTACGGGTAGGTTTTCGCGGGTAATTCGAGCATGCTGCCGCGTCATTACGTCACGTCTGTAAACATAAAGAAGTTGTCCTGGCTACTATCGCATGTGAGGATCCTGCAGGTGGCGGGTCGTTTATAACCTTTTCTCACAGCAGCCAGAATAATTACATGTATCATTTTGATGGCGGATTGTAATTCATAAAGGATTATGTGTTTATGAAACACATGTGAATGAATTTAAATTATATTCCTGTTTTAAATGTGCTTCTGATTACAGATAGCCTGGGATTACACAAGATTTGTATTTTAAAGAAAACCGGTTCGAAGGGAGCATAATTTGCTTTTTGGGTGTTAAAAGAATTTCTTAATATGAAATTCGAATGGCATGACATTTGGATTAGACTGTGCAGAAATTGAAATCTACATGCTAATACACACTATACTCAGTCACGCAATGCTGATGTTGTTAACAATAATGATTTTAGAATAAAGTATAACAAAATTAATAATTTGCATGGTTTGATGTGATATGAGCTATCCGATCGTTAGATTAAATCACCATTGGTAGCGCGATTTATGGTAATGCTTTTTTCCTCAGTTGGTCAGAACAAACGTGGCAGACTTGTTACTTACTTGTTCAGATGGCAATATATGGTGAAAATTCATATTTGGTTTCATATATTCCAAGACGTAGGCTAGAATCTGTGATTGCGAAGTACAGTAAATATCCACACCGGTGCGGTGACTGACTGCCACACATTCACCTCAAAACATTAGATTCATCCGCGCTGAAGCTGTGCCGGAGCACATCCCATGCAAGGAAAATAATTCCGCAAACAGCTGCAAATCCAGGTTTTCAAACAGAGATGGCGACAAAGAGGCAAAATTTACGGACTGCAGCTTTAAATGAGCAAAATGTGATTTTAGATGTTAGATTTTTGCAATGGAACACATGAATAATGAATATATTATTTCCCAATGGTAGCTTTTTTATAACTTATGTGTTTAAATGGTTTTGTTTTATTTAATAATAAACTTAGTCACAAATTTAATTTCTCCTTAAATTTGCTGGAAAAGATAAAGATGAAAACAAATCAAAAGTTAATAGTTCACAAAAAAACTGCAATACTATAGAGCAATAAAATGAATGTTGATAGCAGCTCAGATCATTTGATCATGAGAGAACATGATGAGAAATATTTATCTGATCACAATTTGATATTGTTGAGATCTCTTTAGGAACTGAGAATCAGGAACTTCCTTTGCTGATACTGTTGAGATCTCTTTAGGAAGCTTGAGCAAAACTCTCAATTTGCTCTCGAATTAATCTCAATGCAACCAAGAAGAAACGAGACACGTTAAATCAGTTTTAATGAATATTTGATTGCTCACAGGTTGCTGTTTAGAAAGATTTCTGAAGGATCATGTGACACTCAAGACTGGAGTAATGATGCTGAAAATTCAGCTTTGCATCACAATAAATTACATTTTAAAATACATTCAAATAGAAAATAGTTATTTCAAACTATAATAATATTTCACAATATTACTGCTTTTACTGTATTTTGGACCATATAGATGTACATCAATAAATGAATGTGAATAGCAGCTCAGATCATTTGATCATGAGAGAAATTGATGAGAAATATTGATTCATGAGTTCATATTGATCTGATCATGATTTGAGACTGTTGAGATCTCCAATTAATCTCAATGCAACCTAGGAGATAGTAAGGAGATCTCATGTTTCTTTCCTACAGGACTCCTAACGGCTCACATGAAATCAGTTTTCTTGAACTCATCGTCCGGTTTCATCCCATTGAAACAAACACTCATAAGTCACATTAAGTGCTTCAGCAAGAATGTATATAATCTCCCGCTGCGCTGTCGACACGCAACCTTTAAACACCCTTCACACACTCCTTGATCTCAAACGAGCATTATTCATACATCCTCAGAGGAATGCAGCCCATCTCTCTGTATTTGTCCAAGTCTATCCTGCCATCCGCGCAGCTGAATTATTAACAAACGACAGCTGTCCCTCTAATTCATCATCCGTGGCATAAACTAATATTCAAATGATGTTATAAAACTGAAGCCGTTTCTCCCACAGTCGCGCTCTCTAGAAAATGACCTCGGGACTGAGCAACCACGTTCCCGTCTTTCTATTTCTGTCTTAAACCCACAATTCAGTGCGTGGCGCTCAGCGGCTCAAAGGATCCATCAGTCGGGTGCTTTCCAACTCTCAGTCATGTGTACGTCTCCCAACAGGCTTCCCATTTACTCTGATGTCTCTATTTCACCTTTTCTTCTCTCGAAACCCCCACCAAACACTGTTTTTCCCCCCTGCTCTCGCCCTCCAGTGGGTGCGGCAGCGGATGCGAGAAAAAAACTTTCATGTTGATTGGTTTTGATAAAACCCAGCGCTCTTGAACGGAGGGCTCTCCAATTGCTAAGTGTAATCAAAGAGTAGAGAGCATTATCCTGCGTCCGCGAGGAAAGGGGGGCCGGTGAGGGATGTGCTTTTGAAGATGTGCGGAGGTTGACGGGTGGGAACGAGGGGGGCGGTGGGCCCGCGGTTGAGGCGCCTAGAGCCATCCTCACCTTCGATTCTCATCTCCTCAGATCTCCCTCTGCCCTGTTTCACGCCATTACCGACCGTTCTGATCTGACCAGCGGCACGAAGGGCAGTGGGAGCCGCCACGGCCCGTTTTCACCTTCAGCTGTCTGACAGCAAACCTGACAGAAAGATGCATCAATGTTCTTTAAAGAGTTTCCAATCCATCCTGCTGTCACAAATGTCTGTTCATACATGCAGTCTAACATGCTACTCGTACTAATTTTGCATTACGCACTGTATACTCTGAGCGCAGTTTTCTGTACTGAATGGATTATGATGACTATTTTTTTCAAAATGTGTAGTGTATAATAGCATAGCGTGTAGAATAATGTACACCATGACTCGATTGAGACTGACATTGCATTTCCGGTTTGTTGACATGCGTGACTTGACTTTTCAAAATTCAGTCACAAATCTGCAAAAACAATTCAAGAGAACCCTTGTTTTAAAATTTATAATTACAATAATTATTTTTTGGCAGCATCAGTATTATTTTAGTATCTATTATAGTTTTTGTTAATATTTTTAATTAGATTTTTATATTTTCTGTTGTAAAAAAAAGTCATTTTCTTAATTGTCTTGTGTTTTAATTGTTTATATTTTTTTATATGTCTATATAGTTTTTATTCGTTTTCATTTATTCTTTTTATTTTATTCAGTTTTAGTTATTTTTAAATACTTAATAATAAATACTCAATACTTAAATAATAGTTAAACTAACCAAAAATGAGAAATGTTGTCTTGTCAACTAGCCGGAATAAATTAATTAAAAAATTTTTTTTTAAAGTTTCAATTTGTTTTTTTCCAACTAATATCCCTTATGATCTCTGAACAAACAAAAATATTATTTTGCACTGTAGTGCTATTTTGTATATATATATATATCTATAAATATCTTTGCAGTCAGACAAAATAATAAAATGTCACTCTGGATATGTAAGGTCAAAAAGAGTCCACTGCATTGTGGGATGCATTATGGGATATATTATTCGATGCTATAGTCTGCTCAGGTTGTATACTGCACATTTTGGCAAATGTAAGCAGGGGCCTCATGTATAAAACTTTGCGTAGATTTCATCCTAAAAGTGTGCGTACGCACCAAAGCTAGATTTTGCGTACGTACAAAAGTTTTCAGATTTATAAAACCATGCGCACGCCAGAAGCTGCGCAAAAATCCCTTTGTAAATCCCAGTGAGGGGAAGATTGTGCGTACGTGCATCTCCACCCCGACTCCTCCCAGAAATCACCATATATGGAGTTTTACTATGCATAACCTCATCTGCATACCATTTCCATGCATATTCCATCCACGTGGCACCATGTTTAACGCACAGATATGGACAATAAATGCTTTTTGAGACATCACATTATGATTCAGTGTCCTTGAAAATACATTTCAGAGAAAGTTTTCAGAGTTGCTCTCATTCTTTTCCACTGGCCAAATAGTATTTTAAATGGTTTTAAACTAATCAAATTTATGCAATTTTGAGTATCATATATATCGGGCTTTTATGGCTCATATGATACAGGAGAATACTGCACTCATATTACTGGAGGGAAAAAAATCAACTACATTTTATTCAGATGCTCAAATTGAGCAAAACTATGCAATTTTTTTGCCAAAAAACGGCCAAAACGTGAGATAAAAATTATTGTACTGTAAATTAATGAGATCTTCATAACAATATGACAGCC